TCTAAGGTCTCCCTGGAGCCTTCTCTTCCCATCGCAGGGGAGAAGGGGGGTCCACCCTTGAACCCAACCCCTCAAACCCTTCCCCCAGGTGAAGGTGAACGTGCTGGGGGCCGTGGTGGAGCCGGGCAGCAGTGGCTTTCCCCCCGACGCCCGCAGCTTTGGGCTCCACGCCGCCATCTACGCTGCCCGCCCCGACATCCGTTGCATCATCCATCTGCACACGCCGGCCACCGCCGCGGTAAAAAGGGAGGGAAGCATGAAATGGGGCTGAAAGTCCCCCTGTTGAGTCTCCAGCGTCAGACTGGGACCTCTTAACTCTCTAAACTCCTTCTCCATGCCTGGGTGGGGCTGGGCCCAACCCTAGACCCCCCGAGTTGGTCAATAGTTTATGTCTGAGGGACTGAGCAGCTGCCTCTTGGAGTCATGGATGGGTTGGGTTGGAAAAGACCTTCAAGGTCACAGAATCATCCATTCCCAGAGTGGCCTGGGTTGGAAGGGACCTCAAAGATCATCCAGTCCCCCCCCTGCATGGGCAGGGACCCCTCCCACCAGCCCAGGCTGCTCCAAGCCCCATCCAACCTGCCCTTCAACCCCCCCAGGGATGGGGCAGCCACAGCTTCCCTGCCCAACCTGGGCCAGGCTCTCCCCACCCTCACAACAAAGAATTCCCTCCTCATCTCCAACCTCAATCTCCCTTGCTCCAGTTTTCATCCATCCCCCTCATCCCATCCCTCCCTGCCCTTGTCCCAAGTCCCTCCCCAGCTTTCCTGGAGCCCCTTCAGGCACTGGAAGCTGCTCTAAGGTCTCCCTGGAGCCTTCTCTTCTCCAGGCTCAACACCCCAACTCTCCCAGCCTGTCTCCAGAGCAGAGCTGCTCCAGCCCTCCCATCAGCTCCAAGGCCTCCTCTGGACCCTCTCCAGGAGCTCTTGCACAAAGCAATGACATTATTTTAAATTCCTGAGCTCTTTTTCAGCCCCTCAGCCCACGAGGCCCCATCTCAGGCCTGACTCCATCACCAAACCCATGGTCACACGAAGTTGCTACGAGATAAAACACCCCGATTGGCTTTGAAATCACCAAGGAGCCTGTGTTCTGATGGGGTTGGTGGGGTGTTTTTTGCAGGGCTGTGGTGCTGATTTGTGCTCTGCCCCTGCCCAGGTGTCGGCCATGCGCTGCGGGCTGCTGCCCGTGTCCCGCGCCGCGCTGCTGCTGGGGGACGTGGCCTATTACGACTTCGGCGGGGAGGTGGAGGACGAGGCCGACCGGGTGGAGCTCCAGAAATCCCTCGGGCCCACCTGCAAGGTGAGGGGGTGCTCATGTCTGGAGATGGCTCCCCAAAACCTGGTGGGGAGACCCTGGGAGAGCCCGGCCAGGGAAGCTGTGGCTGCTCCATCCCTGGTTTGGCGGGGACTGGGAGGTGCTGGGAGGTGCTGGGAGGCGGATGGGCTTGGGGGTCTTTAGATGAGATTGATGAGATGATTTCAGATGGAGGTTGGACATGTGTAGGAAATTCTTTGTTGTGAGGGTGGTGAGAGCCTGGCCCAGGTTGCCCAGGGAAGCTGTGGCTGCCCCATCCCTGGCAGTGTTGAAGGGCAGGTTGGATAGGGCTTGGAGCAGCCTGGGCTGGTGGGAGGTGTTCCTGCCCATGCAGGAATGTGGGACTAGATGGTCTGTAATGTTCCTTCCAGCCCAAACCATTCCATGATTCTATGCCCCTTAGGGTCTAGCCCCAGTGCGAGGATTAAGAGAAGGCTTCAGGCAAAGGAACATCATCCAGCTGTGGTGCTGGTGCTGGAGCTGTGAGTCGTTGCCATCATTGCAAAGGCAGTCCCAGTTTTGGGGGGCTTGGGGCTGGCTCAGCACGGCACAGCTCACCCAGCTCCCAGCTGGTGGCAGAAATTGGGCAACCTGAGGTTTCTTCAGCCTTGGGGCGGATGGGTCTTGCCCAACGGGGGGCTTGCAGCTGGGAAGGGTGACACTAGGCACTTCCCCAGAGCTTGGTGTAGAAATGAGCTGGGTCTTTGGAGGCAGCCCCGAGGTGGGAGACAGGGCTTTGCACAGTTTCAGTTGAAGGGCAGGTTGGATGGGGCTTGGAGCAACCTGGGCTGCTGGGAGGTGTCCCTGCCCATGCAGGGGGTGGGATCTAGATGATCTTTTAAAGTCTTTCCAACCTAAACTATTCCATGATTCTATGACCCCGTTTAAGGAGACATGGTTCTTCATGTCAGGTCTGTTCCAAGCTGGGAGCTTGGGGCCTTCCCACAAATCACGCACCCCCCAAAGGAGATTGTGCATGACATATTTGTACCCCAAACTCTAGGTCACCTTCCGAGTCCATCCCCCTCATAGTGCTTGGTCAGTGATTACCATGGAGTTATGATCTGGTTCCACCACTCTTTCTGCTTTCACACGTGCTCAGGGGAAGGTTCTTCACCTGGGCAGGGGCCTTTTTGACCCATGGGTGTGACTTTTAGTGTTGTAATGAGATGATCACGAGTTAAGTTCACCTCAAGGACACAACATCACAAGTTCTGCCTCTCCAACCACCCCAGACTGGTTCAACCATCAACCTTCTTGACTCTGGTCCTCACCCCCTGCATTCCTGAGCTCCTTGAGGTGCAGACCTCAAGTCTCCTCTGCCAAGTTCATCATGAGACACTCTAACCTTCTCAATCAATTGCCTTCTTCAAGGCCCAGCTGGTGACTGCAGGAGGTCCTGGCTCAGTGCTGGCTGTGGTGGCACAGCCCCCTCCTCGTCCCACTGACACTGTCCCTCCCGTGGCCACAGGTGCTGGTGCTGCGCAACCACGGGGTGCTGGCGCTGGGGGACACGGCTGAGGAGGCCTTCTACTGTGCCTTCCACCTGCAGGCAGCCTGCGAGGTGCAGGTGAGCTGGGCACAGGCTCTGCTGCCACCGCGGTGCTTGGGGACCCTGCACTGAGCTGGGGACGGGCTCAGCTGCCACCCTGGTGCCACCAGGGGTAACACGGAGCTCTGCAGGCTCAGCTGCCACCACGGTGCTCTGGGACGGTGCATTGGGTTGGGGATGGTCTCAGCTGTCACCACAGTGCCACCAGGGATAAACACCAAGCTGTGCCAGGTCTCAGCTGCCACCCTGGTGCCCTGGGACCATGCATTGGGTTGGGGATGGTCTCAGCTGCCACCCTGGTGCCCTGGAACCATGCATTGGGTTGGGGATGGTCTCAGCTGCCACCACAGTGCTCTGGGACCATGCACCGAGCTGTGCCAGGTCTCAGCTGTCACCATGATGCTCTGGGACCATGCACTGAGCTGTGCCAGGTCTCAGCTGTCACCACAGTGCTCTGGGACCATGCACCGAGCTGTGCCAGGTCTCAGCTGTCACCCTGGTGCCCTGGGACCACGTACTGAGCTGGGGATGGTCTCAGTTGTCACCACGGTGCCACCAGGGATAAGCACCGAGCTGTGCCAGGTCTCAGCTGTCACCATGATGCTCTGGGACCATGCACTGAGCTGTGCCAGGTCCCAGCGCCCGGTGCCCCGGCGGGGGCAGTGACGGGGCAGCCGGGGGGTCCGTCCCCCCCGCCGCTCCCGCTGCAGCCGCGTCTCCCGGGGCTCCCGCAGGTCGCGGCCCCGGCCAGGGGCGTGGGGGAGCAGGAGTTCGAAGCCCTGATGAGGATGCTGGACAACCTGGTGAGCAGCAGGACGGGGCGGCTCCCCCGGGGCCCGAGAGGGACTCCTTCTTGGGTCTGATCCTGAGAGGTTTCTTGCTGGGGGCCTGGCTTGGTCAGTGGCTTTGTCCATGATCTAGGTGAGGGGGTTGGGGATTTCCTCAGGCAGTTTGCAGAGGACACCAAATTCGATGAGAGTGTTGATCTGCTTGAGGGTAGGAAGGTTCTGAAGAGGCACCTGGACAGGCTGGATCCATGGGTTGAGCCTCTGGACAGACTGGATCCACGGGCCAAGACCAGTTGTATGAGGTCCAACCAGGCTCAGTGCTGGGTCCTGCACTTGGGTCACACCAACCCCAGGCAAAGGGGAAAGAACAAAGTGCCCGGGGGAAAAGGACCTGAGGGTGCTGGTCACAGCAGCTGAACATGAGCCAGTGTGTGCCCAGGTGGCCAGGAAGGCCACCAGCACCCTGGCTTGTGTCAGCAGCAGTGTGGCCAGCAGGACCAGGGCAGGATTGTCCCCCTGTGCTGGGCACTGCTGAGGGGGCACCTTGAATCCTGGGGTCAGGTTTGGGTCAGAAAAGGGACATGGATGGGCTGGAGGGTGTCCAGAGAAGGGCAAGGAAGCTGGGGAAGGGTCTGGAGAACAAGAAGGCTCTGGAGAACTTGTGAGGAGCAGCTGAGGGAGCTGGGGGTGTCCAGCCTGGAGAGACGGAGGCTGAGGGGAGACCTTCTGCTCTGCAACTGCCTGAGAGGAGGTTGGAGCCAGGGGGGTCGGGCTCTGCTCCCCAGGAACAAGTGATGGGACAAGAGGAACGGCCTCAAGTTGCCCAGGGGAGGTTTAGGTTGGATCTTGGGAACAATTTCCCCATGGAAAGGGTTGTCAGGCCCTGGCCCAGGCTGCCCAGGGCAAGGGGGGGTCCCCATCCCTGGAGACATTACACACACAGAAGTGGCACTTCAGGACATGCCCTGATGTGCAGCGGCCTGGGGGGTTTCTCTGGGGTTGATGGTTGGACTTGGTGATCTTCGAGGTTTTGTCCAAGGCTGCTGCTTCTGCGGCTCCTCCCTGAGCCCCCTCTGCCCTCCCAGGGCTACCGCACGGTCTACACCTACCGCTACCCCCTGGTGCAAGAGAAGAGCAAGCCCAAGAGCGACGTGCTGATCCCTGAGCCCCCTCCCCCCCAGGGCTACCGCACGGGCTACACCTACCGCTACCCCCTGGTGCAAGAGAAGAGCAAGCCCAAGAGCGACGTGCTGATCCCGGCCACCGTCACCGCCTTCGTCTTCGAGGAGGACGCGGCGCCTGGGCCCGCGCTGCGCCAGCACGCCCAGAGGCAGCAGAAGGAGAAGACCCGGTGGCTCAACACCCCCAACACCACCACCAGGGTGAAGGTGGTTGCAGCAAGGCAGCAAGACCAAGACGATGGTGAGGAGCTGCTGCCACCTCCTTGGGTGGGAAAGGGGGGGGTGGTTTGGGAAAGGGTCTGGCTTGGGAAATGGTAGAAGGTGGGTTGGGGAGCTGGGTGGGTTGGAAATGACCTGGAGGAGATGGACTTGGGGATGGGGGTGGATGAGAAGCTCAACATGAGTTGACACCATGTGCTGGAGCCCAGAAACCAACCATGCCCTGGGCTGTCACCAGCAGCGTGGGCATCAGGGCCAGGGAGGGGATTGTCCCCCTTGGCTCTGCTTTCATGAGACCCCACCTGGAGATCTGTGTCCAGTTCTGGAGCCCCTGACAGCAGGACATGAAGCTCTTGGAGTGAGTCCAGAGGAGCCACAGAGATGCTGGGAGGGCTGGAGCAGCTCTGCTCTGGAGACAGGCTGGGAGAGTTGGGGTGTTGAGCCTGGAGAAGAGAAGGCTCCAGGGAGACCTTAGAGCAGCTTCCAGTGCCTGAAGGGGCTCCAGGAAAGCTGGGGAGGGACTTGGGACAAGGGCAGGGAGGGATGGGATGAGGGGGATGGATGAAAACTGGAAGAGGGAGATTGAGGTTGGAGATGAGGAGGGAATTCTTTGTTGTGAGGGTGGTGAGAGCCTGGCCCAGGTTGCCCAGGGAAGCTGTGGCTGCCCCATCCCTGGGGGTGTTGAAGGGCAGGTTGGATGGGGCTTGGAGCAGCCTGGGCTGGTGGGAGGTGTCCCTGCCCATGCAGGGGGTGGGACTGGATGATCTTTAAGGTCCCACCAACCCAAACCATCCCATCATATAATTCTAAGTTACTGAGCCCACCAAAACATGGTGAGCATAAACACCCAGACGTGGGAAGTTCCTCCAGGAGTGAGAAATGCTCCTCACGGTCCCTCTATCTAACACAACCTTTCCTTTCCTCCTCTATCCCCCCCAAAAAACAACATTTCTTTTAAAATCCCCTCTTCCCAGCCCAGAGCCCAAACCCCACAGGCCTCGGTGGGGTCTCCCCTCTATGCAAGACACGTTTTGGGGGGATCTCCCCTCTCCACTGGGCACATTTATTGGGGTGTCCCCTCTCAGGATCTTATCTCCATGATTCACAGTGGCTGAAGGCAGATGAGGTGGACAAAGGCAGCAGTGGGACCCCCATCCGGATTGAGAACCCCAACCAGTTCGTGCCCCTCTACACGGATCCTCAGGAGGTGTTGGAGATGAGGAACAAGGTAGAGTCCTGTCCCAGAAGCCCCAAAAGAGTTTGGATGTGGATGCAGGGGGCTGGGCAGACCCCCCAAGAGAAGCCTTGTACTACCAGCAGCCCCCAGGTCCTCATCCTGCTTCTGTGTGGGGTGGATGTGACACAGCTCAGAGGGTTGTGGTACATAGAGCAGAGTCCATTTGGGGCCTGTGGTGTCCCCAGGGGTCAATGCTTGGTCTGGTCTTGTTCAATATCTTCATTAACGACCTGGATGAAGGAACAGGGTGTGACTCAGCTGGTGTCACCAAACTGGGAGGGGTGGTGACACTGCAGAGGGCTGTGCTGCCATCCAGAGACCTGGGCAGGCTGAAGAGCTGGGCAGAGGAACCTCATGAGGTTCAACAAGGGCAAGTGGAGGGTCCTGCACCTGGGGAGGAAGGAACCAGGCACCAATAGAGGTGAGTGGTTCACCTTCTGGAGAGCAGATCTGGGGACAAGGATCTCAGAGTCCTGGTAAACAGTAAATGAGCCAGGAATGTGTCCTTGTGGCCAAGAAGACCAATGGAATCCTGGAGTGCATGAGGAAGAGTGTGGCCAGGAGGTCATCCTGCCTTTCTGCTCTGGTGAGGCCCCATCTGGAGAACTGGGACCAGTTCTGGGCTCCCCAGTTCAAGAGGGACAGGGAACTGCTGGAGAGAGTCCAGGGGAGGCGAACAGAGATGGTTGGAGCATCTCCCTGATGAGGAAAGGCTGAGGGAGCTGGGACTGTTCAGCCTGGAGAAGAGAAGGCTGAGGGGAGACCTGATCAATGCCTGGAAGTATCTCAGGGTGGGTGCAGGAGGATGGAGCCAGACTCTGCTCAGCAGTGCCCAGGGACAGGACGAGGGGCAACGTGCTTGGGGACGTGATTTAAGCACTGAAGGGGTAGAATAGGTTCTGGTTGGTGGATTTAGGTGATGATCTTGATGATCTTCAAGGTCCTTCCCAACCAGGATGATTCTGTGTGGGACATGGGACGTTCCATGGAAAGGTGAGGAGAAACTTCCCTGCAGTGGGGGTGACAGAGCCCTGGGACAGGCTGCCCAGGGAGGTGTGGAGGGTCCTTCTCTGGAGATACCCCAGACACACCTGTGGAACGTTCTCCAGGGGATCCTGCTTTAGTGGGAGGTTGGAGTAGATCTCCAGAGGTCCCTTCCAGCCCTGCCAATCCTGTGCCTCCTCCCCCAGATCCGGGAGCAGAACCGGCAGGAGGTGAAGTCGGCAGGACCCCAGTCCCGGCTCCTGGCCAGCGTCATCGCCGAGACCAGTCGCAGCCCTGTAGGTCACCCCGTGTCCCCAGCCCCTGTCCCCTCCCTGGAACACCCCACCTCCCACCGTTTGGGGGGGTGACACTGCTCCGGGGGTGTCCCAGTCCACAGAAAGCCACCTGGGGGATGCAGAGGCCAAAGAGACGTCGGGGGAGGAGGCACCAGCCGAGCCAGAACCTCCCAACCCCTTCAGCCAACTGACAGACCAGGAGCTGGAGGACTACAAGCAGGAGGTGGAGAGGAAAAAGCTGGAGCTGCTGCAGGGTAGGATGGGCTGGGGGGAGCCCTGGAATCCCCCTCTGGGCCAGCACCCAACCCAGCTCAGGTCCAGCACCCACCAGATCCTGGGGCCACCACCCACCTGAGCTCGGGTCCAGCACCCACCTGAGCTCAGACCCAGCACCCACCTGAGCTCAGACCCAGCACCCACCTGAGCTCAGACCCAGCACCCACCTGAGCTCAGACCCAGCACCCACCTGAGCTCAGACCCAGCACCCACCTGAGCTCAGACCCAGCACCCACCTGAGCTCAGACCCAGCACCCACCTGAGCTCAGACCCAGCACCCACCTGAGCTCAGACCCAGCACCCACCTGAGCTCAGACCCAGCACCCACCTGAGCTCAGATCCAGCACCCACCTGAGCTCAGACCCAGCACCCACCTGAGCTCAGATCCAGCACCCACCTGAGCTCAGACCCAGCACCCACCTGAGCTCAGATCCAGCACCCACCTGAGCTCAGACCCAGCACCCACCTGAGCTCAGACCCAGCACCCACCTGAGCTCAGACCCAGCACCCACCTGAGCTCAGACCCAGCACCCACCTGAGCTCAGACCCAGCACCCACCTGAGCTCAGACCCAGCACCCACCTGAGCTCAGACCCCCCTGAGAACTCTCCCAGACCCCCTACCAGACCCCTCACAGACTGGGCACCTCCCGCCCCTCCCGTCGCTTTGATGTCCCCGGGGTGAAGGAGCGGGCAGGGGGGGAGCGCAGGGCAGGGGGGGCTTCTCGCTCATGGTGTCTCATGGTGTCTGTCTGTCTGTCTCCACAACGTCCGTGTCTCTCCTCCACGCGTGGCTTTCACCCCAAGGAGTCACCTCTGGGTCCTTGTCACCGTAGTAAGTACGGAGAGACCCCCGGCCCGGGGGGGGGACCTTGCTCTCCGGGACCACGTTCCCGCGGGGACACAACCCCTGGGCGTGTCCCGACCCCCCCCCAGGCTCAGGAGCTCCCTTGGGGTGGTCGTTGCCTCCTTGTCTCTGCTTCCCAGCTTGATTCCCTGTGCCTGAAGCTCTTCCCAGTTTCTCCATCATCCCACCCAGCTGCTTGTCCCGCAGGGAAGGTTGGGAGGGGGCTCAGAAAAGCAACAGGAGGGGGATCAGGTCCCAGAGCTCCTGCCCGGGTTGAACCAGCTAATGAAGGGAGGGGGAAGGATTTAAACCCCCATTTCCATCCCCCAGAGCCTCACCCCTCTCCCCTTTTCCCTCTCTCCAAGGTGACAAGAAGGTGGCTGGAGACCAAGCACCAGAGAAGGAGCCACCGGCAGTGAACGGGAAGGAGGAGGAACCAGCCCCCCAGGAAAGGCTGGACAAAGGGGGGACACACACCAGTGCCCCCCCCAGCGCCCCCCCCGAGG